TGTTAGAGAAAACCTAGTAATTGTCTGTCACAGATGTCCAATGAAATGCCTTCAAACTAACAACCTTTGCTGCATTAAAAATAAATTGGATCAGGAAAAGACAAGCTGATAAATTCAGTTAAACGAGACACAAACTGGGGAGCTCATGAAGACGACAAAATCACCCTGGAAAGAGAACATACCTAATTAGTTGAGAGATGTAAAAAGCCATCAGTCATATATACACATTACTTGAACAATGATACAGAAGATATATGTTGTATTTTAAACATCCAAAAAAGCAGAGAATCAACCCAAGCTGTACATGAAGAGCAACTTCTTAATGTATGAAAGATGACAGTTTACAACAGGAAGTAGAAGTGTTTCAGTTCCAGTAAGACATGGATCAAATAGCTCTCTTTATTAAACCACTGCAGATGCAGACCAGATCCATAATTTGCTTTTACTGGAATAAGTACTGAAAAAGTAGTAATGTCCAAAACTAGCCACATTTCTTTTGCACTATATAGTTTAACGTAAATGGCAAACTTTTTGTAACATTTCTGAGAGACTTTAAGCATTACAACCATTTAAGAAGGGGAGACATTAGTGAGCAAGCTTCTTGTTTATTTTCCAACACTGTGGTTCTTAATCCAAAAGGTGAAACCCTTAAAAAAAAAATATTCTGACAAGATTAGATGTGGTCACATCAGAGGAGAGCTGTTGCAATATTAATCTGTGAGCTGAGCATAGAACTAACATGAACCTAAGGCCAAGAGACCTGGTTGGTTCCATGATTGTTTATGCAACAATAGCCAGACCCCATTAAGGCTTCCTGATTATTTTAAAAATGTAATGACCCAGTATAGAGGGACCCAGCATGCATACTAGACAGACAGTGGAATAACTTCAAAAGCATTTATTTAAAACTGGCAGATCTCAGTAGCAGCAGCTAGGACGTCTGAGGCAAGAAACTCTGGAGAGAGGAAACACAGGTTAGTGACTAAGTAAATCTAACTGAGGAAGATTATGGACGTGAGTCGCTAACCTGGTTTACAAGTTCATTCCATACTCAGAGAACGAGTTAGGATACAGCCAGTAGGCTGCCAACAAAATGCTGCGGGCGCTGCCTAGAAGCTCCCAGAGAACATGCAAGAGTCCAAAGTCAGGTCAGGCAAACAGATCACAACAGGAACAGGCAGGCTTAGTGGTTAAGAGGCAGAGCAGGAAATATGAAACATTAAAGTAGGAAACACTCTCTTCACTGGCACTTGAGAACCAGAAAAATCTGGCCCTTTTGACAGGATGCAAGCGGCTTAAATAGAGGCAGGAGCAGGTGAAGCAGATGACAGATAATGAGAAACCGGGCAGAATTGGACAGGTAATTGAAATTAGCAATTAGGCCACTCATCAGTGCCAAGATCCTGACAAAAAAGGTGGTTTTCCAGTCTGAGAAAATAACAAGTTTAAGTTTCTCAAAAACCTTAAACTCCTCCTTTAAATTGTTCAATAAAATATTATAGCATAATTCATGTCAGTTATCATCACCCTCACTAATATATTTCCATTATCTGCTTCCTTGTGGTTTTTATAAGTGTGATTAAATTTTACAAGGCAGTCTCTTCCATAAAAAGGCATTTATTGAACAATTGAGAAAGAAAACTCATAAAACCGCTTTAAAACTTTGAATTGTTTAAATCTGGAGGAGCTGAAAGCTTTGTCTCTCTTATAAACCCAAGTAAACCTAATAAAGCTAAGAATGGTGATTTATCAGACAACGGAGAAACACAGAAACAAAAAATGCCTAAACCTAATTAATTCAAGAGAGAAACAGAGAAATAAGGATCTATTCATAGAGAAAGATGTGTGTGAACTTTTCAGAATTGTCTCTGGTGAAGAACAAACAGACACACCTCTTATAATAAGCTTAATATCTCTTGATCACACAAAAGGCGATCAATGTAATTGATTCTCAGGATGCCATCACTCAATCAGTCTGCATGTCTCGCTGACCAGCGCTAACTCCTGTGACTTCTATAACCTTTTACCCTGCTTCCCTACTGTGAGAGGGGGCAACGAGCAAGGACAATCACTGATTGCATCTGAGCAGGAAATAAATACATCTCCCTTTACAAGGTTTGTGCAAAGGTTGTTCTCTGTAATCACTTTAGAGTCCACACAGTGGTGAATTCAGAGCTTCTGCTTGGAAGTTTAGGAGCTCAGAAAGAAAATGCTTAATAAAACATCTGGTGGAGTTATTTCAGATGGGGCTGCATTTTGATAGGACTATTAAGGAGTTTTTTTCCCCCTATTAGTTAGGAGGATGGCTGGTGGGAAACAAATTAAAGATAAAGCTGTTCACACTTACACAGAATGAATGCCTTTTTATTTGTACACAGATGGTAAGAGACTTAGAAAGGTCATTTAACCAAAGAAAAAAAATCTTTCTAAATTCCTTGAATTTGACCTCCAGATACAAAGACTTTCACATGCCTGCACAACATCACTGATGATTAAACTGCAAAGGAACAGAGGGGTGATTTTATAAGAAAAGTCGGTTCATACTTACAATTTAAACTTCTGAAAGTACTTTAAATATGAATTTATTACATACTGTTCAATAAATGATAAGTGTTTTGAATTAAGAGTAATTTCATTTGAATGTGCTTTACTGGAGGCATCCATGCTTGTCAAAGAATACTACTGTCACCTACCGGTTTGTGACGTCACGGTACGGTATCAGCTGTTGATCAAGTCCCAGTGCTGTATCTGGTGTTCGTCACAATGTGCTATTATCTAAGTCATCTTGAAAACATTCTCCTTTGAAATGTTGGCTACATATTACGTATTTTTTCTCTGGTCAGAAGTTTGATGGCAAATCCTCCATCCTTAAAGTTGTCAATCCAACGACGAACCCGAGGAGGACCATGAATCGGAAAGGTTAAAATGTTTTTTCACCTCTACCCGATGTATTACAACATCCAATTGCCATGCACATGGGCATTGTCAGTTTAACTATAACTCTCGCGAAGTTCAATGGTTAAGTCCTCTTGAAATCTTAAATAATTGTTGTTGGTTGCATATGTAGTTTCCATTGATTTTGCTTGTAAAGCGGGGACCTTTGGGTTACCGCACCGAGATGTCACTGCCGGAAGATGTCAGGAGTGAGGTGTTACTATATCTGGGCAAGTTTTAGGTATAGATAATGATCATTGATCATTCTTTGCTGGCCAGACTTCTTATTTAAAAAGCTTTAACAAAACATCCAAGTTTGTTATTCAACAATTCATCAAATTCAACTCTTCAAAAATGTGTAAAAATGTGTAAAAACCTGGTTGCATAAATACACACTTTTTTAATATACTATTAAAGCCTCTTTTGATGCCGTTAAACTATTAGCATCAGTTGTTATTAATCTGGTAAAATGAGGTTCAACTGTCCATGTCTTATATTTTAGTTCTAACTGTTCACCATAGTTTTTCCAGATAGCTGTTTATATGTATCCACTGTTGGAATTATTTAAATATACGCTGCTGATTTAAAATACAAGATGGAGGCTTGGAGCAACACTGAAGAAGCTGCATGAATTTCCAGCCAGTAAAGACTTTGCTCTATAAATGACAAAACCCCTAACATTTTGGCACTGTCATATAAAGTTATTATGTGATTAACTGGTTAACAAGAAATAAAAACATTGAGTGATCAAATACTCATCATAGTAATTAACACAACAGTGAATTTAATTTTATGATGCCTGGTACAAATACATGAATACGTTTACATTATAGGTTGTTAAAGGCCACATCTTCATAACCATCAAAAAATTATATTAGATTACATAAAAAAAAAATACTGTATTGATCCATAAGGGAAATTCACTGTTGTAACTCTTATCGTTTTTTTTTTTTATTTTGTAGAAGACTTTGATAGCCTTAGGCAGGAACAAACCCCCACAGAGAAGCATGGAGGAGGCAGCATTATGCTACGGTTGGAAGAGGAATTATGTATAGTTTCACCTTACAGTAAGTTTTCACTGAAAACCTTCAGACGTCTGCTGAAAATCTTAAATGGAAGAGGAATTTATTTATTTTTAGGATCATGCATGATTGCAGCCATCTTTATAACCGCAGTGACAAAGGGAAGGACTTACCAGAAAATTAAATATTGTAGAAAATATGGTGCGTTACCTGAGACTGTTAATTAAGACTTCTTTTTCCATTTGATAAATCTAGATAACACTTGCAGGGGAGATGGTAAAAAATAGAAAAATCAAATGTAGGACAGAAGAGAGAGTTGAAACTGAACCGATTGTTGCTTTGAAAAAAACATTAGCAGATCTGTCCAGGCCCATAACTGGGCAGCAAAGTTATAGAAAAGATAAAAGGGAATTCCACCTAAAAACACATACAGTTAATGGGAATGAAGTAAATATATGAAGATGTTCTCCGGCGTAGCACTGAACTAAAATAACCATAGATAAAATATCCTTAATTTAAAAAAACAAATAAATCCAAGGCAAAACTTTCTGTTCTTTTCTGATTAGAAAGGGCAGCAATGACTTTGTTTTAAAAAAAAAAAAAAAAAGATAGTAGGAAAATCTAAAGAAATGTAAGGAGCTGAGATAAACTGGAAATCTGTTCAGAAAGAGGAGAAAGATGGTCTGGAAAAGCAGTGTTTGTGTTGTTGAGCATTTTATGAGTCAGCGAGTACAAAGTTCTAAGGTTCAATGATCAAAGCATTACTCAGACACATCTGCACACATTCACTCAGAGGGATAAACATAAACAAAATGCAGAACTCCTTTCAAATGCGGCTGTTTTGGAGGACACTGGAACTCGGAGTAATGCTGCACAGTATCGCCATGTTACAACACACACACACACACACACACACACACACACACACAGGGCTAATCTTCTTACTAATCACAAGGTTTGACTGTTAAAACAGAACAAAGTTCACACTGACAACAGTGGCAGAGTAGAAAACAGTAACAGATACGTTGAAAAAGAAAATCAGAGCAACAATGTGCTTTTCTCTTTTTAAAAACATTTCCTCTCACCTTCTAAAAGCAGTCAGACTTTAAAATTTCACTCAGGGATAATTATTTACATCTGGAAGGAGAACTTAAACATCTACATATTGATGGATCCTGAAAACTGTGAGTTAAAACCTCCTAAAATAAGACTGTTTTAGTGCCTGCTTTGTTGTTTGAGGACACGGGAAGGTCTGTTCAGTTCCCTCCTCTGTTTTTCTATCGCCGTTGGCTTTTGTCACCAGACGTCAGTGGGTGAAACACAGACTAATTTCACGGCAGTTTGCTTCAGGAACAAGAGTGTAATTTAAATTCAGACTATAAGTGCTCTTTCACATGCAGGCTGTAATTTAAACAGGTTGAAAATACCTACCACCAGCATGAATCTGTGCCACTTCAGCCAGTCTAAATCATACATGTGGGTGGTTATTGTACATTAACGTAAATTTCAGACACCTCTGTGAAGATCAGTGGAGAAGTTTTGGGATTCATGTGAAAATCATGATTATACAGCTTAAAGCGGTTGTATTATGATTTAAACCTACCTACAAGGTGGGTATAAAATGAGTTTTTATAGCAAATGAAACATAAATTGTTTGGATGATGTTAAAAATAGACAAAAAGGATAAAACATGGAAGAAAAAAAAAATCCAACCAGTAACTAAATCAAACAGTTTTATATAATTATGGAAAAGCAACCGTCTTTAGAAAGAAAAACACTAGAGATGCATTAAAAAAACAGAAATGATTCATACTTCTAACAACATAAGAAATTAACATATGAACAAGACAATATAAATAACTTTAACTAAAAGCAAAAACTAAACATGTTCATCTTTAGCTTGCTTCTAATAGAATAAGCAGTCATTGGCTGAGAATATGAATCTAAAATCCTTTCTATGCACAGCAGAGTGATCATTGGCTCACTGGCTGCAGGATGGTCCAAAGCATCAACCTTCCTCCGTCGTGCTCGGCAGTAAGCATGAGGCACTGGTTTCCTGCAATGGGGTCAAACATCATATGACCAAAGAAGATTGTTCCAGAAACCGTACGTCATTTAGATGCTAATCAAAGCTATTTAAGCTAATTTTTTTTCCAGCTAAGTCAGAAAGGCTTCAACCTGACATCTCTTTCAAATTCGACGTACATGTTTACTTTTTATCTATCTGTCTAGTCATAAACTTTACTATTCTAGGATGCTAAATGAGGAAGAGGAGTCTGAGATGAAGCTCTTATGTTTGATTGATTGAAAGACTTTATGATCTCACAGTGGAGAAATTCACTAGTAAGAAGGAAAAGGTGCATGAGGTATATACAATGCATCCACATATATATATACAGTATACAGCAGCTGAAGTCTCTTATTTAACTGGTTAGGGTATTAAATGGGTATTTATATAAATAGGTTTATATATATATATATATATATATATATATATATATATATATATATATATAGTTATTGTACTAGGTATTAAATATAAATAGGTTATTGCACAGGGTATTAAATACGTATTTATAAGTTAATAATTTATATAAAAAGCTGTTAATTTCAGAAATCAGTATTTGGACTTTTCATTTTACATGGCAGAATGATGAACTTCAAATTATTTAACAAAAAATATAACCTTTCTTTAACTAACAAACATTTCTTGAGGCCAAATCAAATAAATCAGTCTTAATTTCCTGCTGGTTACCCTATTAAATCAAAAAGATAGAACAATTCTATGACTGGTTTCCAGAGCGTTGACTTTATATTCTAAAAATGTTACAATACATGAGTTTTTCATGTTTTTGTTCATTTTTAGGTCAGATTTAAATCATCCTAAAACCTGCTGAAGATCATATCTCTTTAATCATGTTTAGATGAAGCTGATTATCCTGGAGAAAATGTCCTTCAGTTTTATTTCCACATCAATGCGCTGCTGGTTCCTTTATACACCTCCTGAGGATATTTCATCAATAAGTCATCTCTTTTAACAGTTGGAGCATATTTGTAGCTGATAAAACAGCTTAGTTAGTCCCTATCATAGGAAGACAGCTTTATAGTAGCTGTGCAATGGTACTCTAAGAGGTTCTTCATGATCAAAGCAGCTCCCTTCAGTTCAAACAGCTTCTTTGAGCGGTTTGGTCTTTTTGAACGCAGCACATTAACCAAAGAAGCTAAGCCTGGGAAAACACTGGGTTTTTATTTTAAGTAAATAATCTAATTTGCACACACTCTATTCACATAGTTACAGAAAGCCACAGCCCTTTTAAAGCTGTAGGTTTCTTTTACAACATGATTGCATCTTTTGCAGCAGGGGTGTGAGCAGGGTGTGTTTCAAGAGGAGCCATGTTGTTTTATGTTAACCCAAAACAGGTGTTTTTACAAACCAGGATGGTCTCCCAGCTAGTCGGGTTAGTTGCTGCGCATCCGCCCACTGAATTAAGCTTGGGGCTGTGGTGACAGATGGGATGGAAATGAAGCCAGTACATTCCTGTTCAAGAACATTGGAAATGTGAGACTCATGCAAACAAGAAAAAAAAAACATAAATAAAACATGTGAGCATCTGTAAATGAGCTTCAAACGGTAGACTTGAAATATAAAAAAGGTAAAAAGTACATCTTTCAGGACGCTTCACATCATTTATATGGAGAAGGAAAAAAAAAATTTAAATCTAAGATTTTGTTTTTCTGAAACTGAATATAATTAAACTAAGTAGATAAATATCATCTAATGCAAGAAAAACCAAATACCCAATTAAGCCATGTTGCTTTTAAAGCTGACATCCTGTTTATACTGTTTGCATAAGGTGCTGCTAATTAAATGCATTGTAGAAATCATTAGCAGGATCTGTGACCTCCTGTACAAACGGACATTTTGCTTTTCTGCAATATTTAGTTGGAAAAGTAACACAGAGGTTGGGTTTTACAGACTCTGCTGCATATTTTAATGAGCTGATGGTTAATCTAATCATCTCCAGCAGATTAATTAGCCTAAAGAGCTTATCTATCTGCTTAGGCTCCTTTTCAGTCCATTTTACTCCAGTACAAAATTATGAGCCAACTTTGTCCTCAGTGTAGGAGGACTTTCAGTGTAGTCTGAACATTAAAAAAGTAATAATATTTCCCTTTTCCATCCTTATCAAGAATAGAAAAAATAGTGAAATCAAATTCCAAACTTTTCCAAACCTTTCCAGGTTACATTGGAACACAGAGAATGGGTTCATTCAACGAGGCACAGAATCTGACGTTTAAATTGTAATAAATGCAGATTATCAGTTAACTATCAGTAATAAAAACATGGTTAGCAACAGATTTTTTTTTTTTTTTTTAAACGATGACATGCTTGAACAGTAAGAGGGAAAAAAGCCCAGATATAAGCATTTCTTTTTGGCCCTAATACCGGTACTAGGTTTTTATACATCTCATCAAACATATGTCAAATTGGATGTGTTATTATGCAAATATGTCCTAATGAAGCAAAATGCCTTAAGTTTAATTATGTCACATCAGCCCTGACATTGTCTCCTTTTTTTTTTTCAGAACAAGCATGGAGGTGCTGAGTGGCCCCTGGGCTGATCTGGCCCTTTTCCTGCGACATACTGTCACAAACACAGACACAGACAGCTTTCTTCCTCTCTGGCTCTTTGGATTGTTTCTATTCCTGTCAGTCTGCCTGCTGCTGCTGCAGCTAATTATCTTCTTCAGCTGGAAACTCAGACAAGGTGGGCACGATTTTAGCTTTTCATTTCAGGTTAGCCAGATTACTCACCTGTTATATTTATCATGAAGGAATGTAACTAAACAGGCAATGCAGCAGACTGCCCTCAGGTTCAGATAAACTTATTTTTATGTTTAAAAGGGGAGCAGTCGATGACAAGAATGAGCAGAAATGATTTGCTACCATCTAAACACTCACACACGCTGCAAACACCAGGCAAGGGATTGTTTATACCTCTAGATTTGTTGGGTTTGACACGACTACTCATATTGCCTGTGGCTACAGAGAAATATTTTTGTGGCCTGAGTAAGCTACATCCTGGCAAAAAAAAAAAAAAAAAGGCAAAGATTGGATCCCGGGGAAATAATAACTTGGATGTCAGCAAAATGACATTTTGAGATTAATCTAAATGTACTCAGTTTAACCGCGTGACTGAGATAACTACACATCTGTGATGCAGGAGGGTTAATTTTATATATCTGAGCCAATCAGAGTAAAGGATGAGAGAGAGAGGAGCTGAAGGTGTTTAAAAATCCCTAAGGTTAGTTTTCTTTTGTTTTCTGCTGAATTAACCTGTGCCCCTTTATTCTCTAAGCTGACATAAAACAGTCGGATGCATCCAATCAGACACATCCTATAAATAAACCAATATGTCAGCCTTGAACATCTGATCCTGCTTTTCAGGGTTTTATGGAAAACATGGTCAGTTATATAAGCAGATATTATCATAACTAAAAATGAGGAAAAAATATTCTTTTTTTTAAAGATTTCTAGATTAAACCAGCTAGAATCAGCCAATACATTAGACATTATTAGAAAGAAATCTCATCTGCTGTTTAAGCGGGAAGCATTTATAATCAGTTATGGCTGCTCAATCCTTGTTTATAGGCATTCAGTGATAATCAATTAAATGTGGCTGTCATGTCGCATTTTGTTATTAGCTAAACATCCACTCATTTGTGCTTTAAATAAAGTTTATTTTGTGCTTCATATGATCAGATAAGCTATAATTATAGAAATGTACACACAGGTTGGCTATCTTTTTGGTAAAGCAGAGGCACTAGTAAACTGTGCAATGAAGAGGTGCAAAATTTAATTTACATTTGATAAAAAAATATTTCTTTTCTACAGTAGGGCCCAGTCTAGATAACAGCCCCATGGGTCAAAAAAGGAATCAAGCTGTAGGCTTCTCCAAATGCAGCCATGCGGAGAGACATGATAAAAAAGTAGCAAAACACCACCTGGACTTTGTCCATTTATGAAAAGTCAGAATAACAAAGGAAAAAAACAGAACACAATTTCTTCCTGCTGACACAAGCAGATTTGGTTAAAAAATGTTATTCTGTGAAAATCACATTCAGATGTTGATAGAGTATTTACCAATTTCAAATCGAAAATTTCAACAAAAGTAGTACGAAGAATTAGAAATCAAAAGGAAAAAAAAAAATTGGAAATCAACACAGAAAACATGGAGGAGTCTTAATGAATGCTTATGACTGCTGTCATTTTAATCTGAAAAACTCACACGAAGAGAAAAGACAATTAGAAGAAAAGTATTGATACAATAACTTTGTCTTTGGCGCTCAGACCTCGGCAGGAAACATAGCACTGAATTTTGATAGATATGCATGAACAGAGCAAAGAATAGGGTTGTCCCCCTACACAATGTGTAAATTATTCATTAAAAGAATGTTCTTTGTCCCACCAGTAATAGATTTAATTCTAGTCATAACCGCCCAAACAAGACCAGCAAAAGTGATTTTTGTTTAAGTCATGATGATGAGCAGTATTCTTAAAAGCCTAGTGCTACATAGCATTGGGCAAATACCTTCTTGTACTTTTTCCACTCTCTTTATAATCATTTCTAACCTCTTAATTGTGGTTTTCTTTTCCCCAGCTGAGGCGGATCTGTCCCAGTTTGAGCCGAACCAAAGTGCCATCCACAGGCAGAGGCACAGAAATGCCAGCCTGACGAAGAGAAGTTCTGGATTACTTCCTGATACCTGACAGGGATTAATTAAACTGATGGACAAATCTCTAACATACAGCTGGGTGGACGGATCTGGAAATTTTAAGAGACACTCTGATCTCCTGGCACCTCAAAATAAATTCAATGAGAACCTTTTGTTTTTAGAAATACCAGGCAACCTCTAATAATAATAATTAAAAAAATGAGCAGTATAAATTGCACAGGGTTCCATGTTCTCATCTTTCATACATCAGCTTCCTTCATTTGCATCTGATTATTAATAAAATAAATGCATGGAAAACAAACACACGTTTGTAGAGTATAACAATCGTTTATTTGAACAGTGTTACACAGGGGCAAGAAGTGACTGCATGTGGAAACAACACGATTATGCAGCTAGACAAAATGACCTACCAGTGATGTAAACAGGAAGCAAAGAGGTGGCTGGTTCATTTCTCCAAAATGGGCTTCTTTAGAAAAGTGTTTTAGATATTTGCTTGTTTTTTTCCTTCTGTTGAGGCAGATATAAAATTGTGCTATCATTGTAAATAAAGCCTGAGATTTAAGCGTGAAGAATACAGAGTTTTAAATATACTGTTAAAATCCATTAAAATGTCTTTTTTAAAATCAAAATGAAAAGTAGAATGAATATTTTATTAAAGCTGCAAACATTTTGGAAAAGTTAACCTGACAGCCCCAAAGCTCCTGTGATTGGTTGAAAGAGCCCAGAACCCCAAACAGGAAAGAGGTGGTAAAAAAACAAAACAGACATTGATCTTTAGTGGGTTTTCTTCATCGTCAACGACATACACAGTGGCAATAATACAAATAATCAGGAAGGTGGAGCAACAGATCCCACCGTCCCAGTTGAAAAAACTGTGAAAGACTCTACAAATACAGCTGATGCGGCAATATGGATTCATTCAATGAGATTAAATTAACAGCTTCTGAAGCTGCCAGAAGATTTTTATTCTTTTTTTTTATATTTTTTTGTTTGTTTTGCAAGAGGAATAGAAGTTAAAACTCCTCCCCCACATGGAATGTCTTTTAGCTGCATAGTAGAAGTAGGACCTGTGTTTAGAAAGCCTTGTCTTCACTAGACCGGCTTTACTTTCCAGACTGGATCATTATGGAAAACCTGTGCTATTTCAAATTAAAATAATTTCAATAAAGTTATGTGGAATGTGTGATTTTTTTTATTTTATGAATCCATTTAAAAACATAAAAACATGTATTTTCTTTAAGCTTCTAACAGTAGAAAAGGAGTGATTTGGTGAAATTCTGCAACATGTAAATGCATAATGATCTACGCAGAGGTAGGGCACTAAGATGCTTACCTTTAAGCTGTTTTACCTCTCTAGCATTTTATGCAGCAATAATCTTTTAGAAAAACACATCTGAATAGAGCAGAAACTGTTGCACTAAAACAGCTACAACAAATCCGCTGTTAAAGTTAGATGATTAGAGCTGGGCTTTTAATCTTCTACCTAAAGCAGTCAACACAGCAGCAGCATCCTACCCTAGACTGGCAGATAAAAAGCGTGAAGCATGCTGAATTTAATCGTATCGTCTTAACGGTTGCTGCACATAGTGGGATGTGAGAAGCAGCTGGGCTTAAGTGGAAAAGGACTACGACTAGAAACAGATTAGCAGTAAAAGTGAGCGAATGGAAGTTATTAATCTGAATATGGGACAGAATGAGCTTCAAGTTGCTTCATTTTGGTACCTTTGCTGCTCCCTAGCGTGAACCTCATTGTGAATGATTTAGTTGAAATGTAATTATGCATAAAGGTATTATGCTCAGAAAACACGGCAGATATGTGCTGGAACATGCACAGAGTAAGGCTAACTTGTATCAGTGCTCCAATTGGTTTTTATTCACGAGGTATTTGTTGGCTCTCTCCCAATTGTCATCCAGTTTACCAGGCGTCTCTCCCAATAAAATATCAGTTAAATCTCCCATGTTGCCCTGGGGCCCAATAGGAATAGTTAGTGTTGACGAGGGAGGAGACCCAAGGAGTCGCCAAGTTACTAGAAAGCTGCTCTTATTATTGTCATCTTCATTTTTTTTTCTTTTTTTAGTTTCGTACAAGAGATGTATCAACCAGCATCTAAGTCTGTTTATTTTCAGTTCAAATTCATCTTCAGCGTAAAGGAAAAATAATAATAATTAAAAAAAAGATTGCAAAATTTATCCCAATCTGTTTTTGTAGTTTAGGTAATTTTACATTTCATTTATCGTCATCAAACGTGAGTAAAAAAAAAAAAAAAAGAAAAGTAAGCTGAACTGAAGATGAATTGACTCATCAGCTGGTAACAAGAGGAATGTGGATGAATAGCTACATTTACAACAAAAACAAAACTAAATCAAATCCAAAACCCTGGATGATTCACTGCCATATGCAGCTCACAGCTCCCTCCCTTTAGTAGTTAATAAAAAGAAAGTTTTATATTTTTTTATGTGAAATAGCTTTAGTCTACTGAGTGCTTAACATGTAAAAAACAAAGAAAGAACAGGTTTGTTTCTCTCTTCTTCAAACCAGATTCATGAGTTACTTTTATTTGCATTTATGCTGATTCTTTAAGGGGGAAATGGGATCTGTAGTTTAATAAAAAGCTCATTTTTAAAGGAATCCATTAAAAAATCGTCATTTTCTATCAAAATAATCTGGATGAAGGTTATTTCAATCTGAAGTTATTCACTTTGTTTTACCTTAATGAAATTTACAGATATTATAATAGAGACAGATTCATGACCCTCATGTGTTGGTTCGATATCTGCAACACATGACAGACACTATATTCTCTCGCTTATTGCAAAACAGGTAAAGCTACAGCTCCAATATAAAATAATAGAAGGTAAAAATGTTAAGCTAACAAAGTGGTTCTTTTTGTTCCTGCAGAGAGTGAGGATATTTTTTCTCCTTTAGCAATAAGGGGTTGAAATGCACCAAAACAAATGTCTTAAAGACCATCCAGAATGAGAGCGGCATCCTCTGCCCCCCTCGGCTGAAACTCCTCCTTCTCACTCCCTTTGGCAGTCCAGGTTGGTCGTTGTAGAGCGATGAAGATGTTGTCGGAAGAAGGAAGAGTCACTGCTGGTCTTTCAGTTCTGTAAGGCAGATTGAGGACAATCAGCCTGCAGCTCTGTGGTGGTCAGAGAAATACCGGATCTTTTCCTCAAACACACACAGACCTTCTCTGTCATTCCACCGTAACTTACTAAGCACTGGTAAAAAAAATTAAAAACTGTAAAAAGTGCTTTTATTGCAGCAGCAGAAGCTCTGGCTGCCTTCATAATCACATTTTAACTCTAAATGGAGCGAAAAAAATTCCACTTTTTGGGAAACAGAAAATGTTTCAAACCTAAAATAAAATAAATATCACTTACTATATGCATATTTAGTCAACATAATTCTACATAATAAATAGAGGCCATTAATATACCAACTGCTCTGTAGATATTCTTGTAAAAACAAACAAATCCATTAAAATCAGCGTATTTCATTTAAGCAGCTACGTAATATGTGCCATTGGAATAAACATTATAGCCAATTAAATTAGATAAATGGATATATATATATAAATGCATTTGAAATAAGTTATCAGAGATGTTTTTAAGATTAATAATCTAATTCATCAGCAGACAGTTTCACTTACACAAATAAAGTGTATATATAGATATTAGTGCTGTCAATCGATTAAATTTTTTTAATCGCGATTAATCGCATCAATGCCTGAGTTAACTCGCGATTAATC